ATTCCGATTCGATACCAGCTATCCTTTTTTTCACCGTAACATTGTAATCAAATAGGACTCTTCATTCTTCGGTTTGGAGATTCCAAGCAACCCGAGTAATGACTCTCCTTGGTCGAGCTCTATTTCGATTATCGAAATACCCATGACCCAAGGGAGGTTGCCAACCAAGCCGGAAACGATAATTTACATAGCTTTCTCCTAATCTGTTCTCGCGAATAGTTGACACTGATACATCCTTCTGTGGTTTGCATTGTTCACACAACTTGTGGACTTACCCTTATCAACCGCAGATTAACTCTTTCCTGTAAACTCTGTGTTGAAAGTTCCAATGCTCCAATGTGTCAAGGTAATGTTGTACTGTGGCCTTTCGAAGTAACGAAACCGTTGTTTTATTACTATCATTGTCACCCCACAGAACCAATGATCTCCGTTACCGCACAAATAACAAGAACACTGGAGACCAACTTATCAGACGAGTATCCCCACAGGAAAGGCTTTAATCACTCGTTTAATTTCCACGGATGCATCAATCTCAATCAATTGTTCGTAACAACATTTAGTAAGACTGTCGATATGACAGAACCTTCCTTTGCAACATGAACAACACAATTTATTAAACGTCTCTAGCTTCGGCACCAGTTGCCTTGGTCATCGTAAAAGTTTCCTTTCTCCAATCTTCCATACATCTGTAAGGATCATTCCTTCGATCCAAAATCAAATAGCGACTTTCCACGTCATCGCTTCGTATCACCTTTTAGTGACTACTATAATTTCAACTCAACAATCTCTAAGCGATGCTATTATCTCATCGCTCCGTAGTTACCAGCTTTCCGTAACCGATACAACTTTGGGACTTCTATCTCCCAATTCCGTTGTCACCCATATATTAATTCCGTTCCAGCACTAGAATACCGGAATTAACAAATAATGACTATACCACCAAACAAACCAATCTTCGGCGTAAGGATTCTAAGATCGTAACCTTTTCTAACTATTTGGTTCTTGACCTAGGCTCCTCAATAATCACCAATATTTTATAGGAGAGGAATAAAATCCTTCCCAAACATAACTAGTCGGCTCTTGATCCTGACTCAGAAATGTGGCTTAACAATGAGCAAAAACAATAAACATCAAAAATAAACAATATAAACAAAACAACACGTCGTCGTCTTGTGGGAGTGGTTAGTGGCTATTTGTTCCGATCTCAACCACTCCATAAGCAGGGTCATTTTGACACCTATAACGTGATCCTAATCGATCATAAAACCAAACACTCGTTTTCCTCAACGGTGTGAAATACGCAGGGCCACCGTGGCCCTGAGGTAACAAAATCCAGTCACGAAGGAGGCAGACAATGGTTCTCTTTTTGCCCGTTAAAATACACAAGGCCACCAAAGTTCCTCATGTGACAAGTCAAAAACAAAAGTTACAACGTTCTCGTATAACGATGTAATGTAGCAGGGCATCCACAGCACCTGGGGTGACAACCGTCACAAACAAAAATAATTTCATCGTTCTCTTATAACGAAGTAAAACAGACAGGGCTTCCACAGCACCTGTGGTGACAACAGTCACAAACAAAAATAATTTCATCGTTCACTTATAACGATGTAAAGCAGTCAGGGAATTCGCGTCACCTGGCGTGGCGTTAAATCTTCAACACAATCAAGACAAACACATATGACGTCTTTTCTGACGAAGTAACCAAGACAGGGTCCTGCAGGTATATGAGGTAACTGTAATCATATTCGCATTATCGCATCCGACCTAGCGAAGTAAGATAGTCATGGTCGGAAAGATACTTCATATAACACAACGGTGGGTACATCCATTATGCCGTGGTGAGAAAAGGGTGAGTGACAAATTGTTCAACTCAGTTGCACTGAGATGACACGTAGCTTCGCTTCCATGACTTTCGCTAGCATAATGCAGCCAAGCTTAAGCTTGATCTCTTCGTAACCGTACCCACGTCTTCTCCAGGAACAGCATTATACACCAATGCCACTGCAACCGTGCGCCTGTCTCTGGTTTGGTATTTTCAGCTCCTGAACCTTATGACGGATTCCAGCACATCACTTTCACGACACCTTGGACATTCCGAACATGATGGCCCACTCAAGGGTTCTCCTAGTTCGCTCTTCAGGTCGTTTCATAAATAAACCTTATTATTTCTGACCATTCACAGAACGCCTATTCTCGGAAGAGTATTGCTTTGTCCCGTTTAGCATGTTTGTGCAACATTGATAGTTCGTAAAACTTCCATTATTCGGTCGAGTAAGCAACTAACCCCACGGTGAAATGTAGCAATCACTCCATGTCAACTTGTGATAGCACACGTCGACTTCAATAATTCACCGGAAGCTCTTCTGCCATACTCCACTTAAGATCCCGAGTTAACCAACTAGGCTTCGCGGGGCACCAAGAATGAGGTGTCCTTAAACCTAGTGGTGCTACCAAATGTTACAATCAGTGTGCAAGGACACACTAGATTCTGGAATCAAGTGGAGATTACAGGCAATATTTTATATCCGAAGAGACTTGTCCTTCCTAAACTAAATAAAGGTCTAAACTAAAGGAATGTTGAATCCTTATATAAATAAAATGATTAAAACTAATAATGGGGTGTTGGACCCCTTCCCGGAATAAAGGACTAAAAGATAAGGGGTGGAACATAAGGTGATACCTTGATAAGGTAATACCTCGATGAGGTAATGCCGATCATGGGTTCCGTATGGTACCATACCGATTTTTTTTTTTTTCCTTCAAAGTTCAATTTATTAATAAATATATAATTATATATATCTATGTAAAATCTTATAAGCTAATGCTCATTATATATGTTAGGGAAAACCATATCCTATGGTGAAAAACCCTTTAGTGATAATTATTAGTATTTAAATAAAATGTTTTTTTTCTTTTTTGTTTTGATCGACTATTCAGCTCCCAGTAGTAATGATATAAATCAAGTTGTTAATTGATGTGTTCCAATCAATTTGGTTATGATATCTTAGGCGTGAGAGTTTGCGTTGATAGCATAGATAGCGGTCGATCTTTTTGATTGTTGATTCTGAATGATTGGGAGCGATTAAGTTATTCCATGCTAATGGAATTGGGATTTTCAATCTTGACCATAACTCGGTTGATAATGGGCATTGAATTAGGAAATGGGTCATTTTGATCTTGACTTGGAGTTCTGGTGATTCATGTTGTTGGTCTTGGGAGACGGTTTCGAGCCCGCAATAGTGACATTTTCTATGTTGGTAAAAAAATTGTTCAGCACCTAAGTGGAATATGTGTATGTTTTCGAAGTAACCAGGGCTATTATGTTGGTATTTGTGGAGTCTCTTCCAGAAAGAGTTTTGTTTCGTTTGGGTGACTTCTTGGATATTGGTTAAAGTGGTGGATAATTTATGTTTATCAATTCTGGCTCTTTTTTTCTTGCTTCCCTGTTTGTGTTCAAACTCCATGACCAGTTTTGGGATCTCCATTTGATAGATAGTTGGTATACCGTCTTGAATGGACTTGGCAAGGTCTGAGTGTTTGATATTCATTGGGTTCAATGTTTGTTGTTGAGATATTGGTTTGGACACCGATGGTAACCAGGACACAACCTAACCATGATCCCATAATATAACACACTATCCAGATAAGACTTCGTGGCCAAGCTGGTTAAGGCGTGCGACTGTTAATCGCAAGATCGTGAGTTCGATCCTCACCGAGGTCGTCTACTTCTGTGTTTTGGAAATTATTTGGGGGTGTTATATTAGTGACGCCCATCCCATACTAATATACAAATTTGTTGTATCTTTTTTATCCCGAACAAATTAACCTTTGAATATGTAGTAAAGGAAAGTACAGTGCTTTCATTTTCTATTCGTACCAACCACCGGAAATGTTCATACCAGTGGCAAAAAATAATTCATACCGACCCCCGGTATTTTTCGTACCACCGCAGCGGGATTTATTCAGACCATCTAAGAAAAATAGTTCATACTATTGCACTTCAATTATTCATACCAACAGTATATAAAGTTCATATTAATTCCTTTCTTTTTTTTATGTGACTGGCTCTATAAGCCTCTAAGCTACTCAGTTTAATCAAATTATACTCATTTTTTCCATAATTCTGTGCTACTTTCTACAAAGCCTGATATCTATAATAATATTAATAGTAGCACTGTTGGTATGAATAATTAAAGTGCAATAGTATGAACTATTTTTCTTAGATGGTCTGAATAAATCCCGCTGCGGTGGTACGAAAAATACCGGGGGTCGGTATGAATTATTTTTTGCCACTGGTATGAACATTTCCGGTGGTTGGTACGAATAAAAAATGAAAGCACTGTATCTGCTATACTACCAGGCTATCTTATTCAACCTTATGAAAAATAGACAGTTGCTGTAGAAATTCAATATTAATGGTCGAATGATGTTCGTATTATTCGACAGGGAAACATTAGTAGATAATAAATCATCCCAACAATCTTCCAACTGTATTGCCTTACTGATAGATCTCTTCTGCATAAAATAGTGTTGAAATGTAGCTCTAAGTAAAGTTCAAGCTCTAATAGTTTAATTTTGTCTATCACTTAACTTGAGGGTAATCTATGTGATTTTGTGTACTATAATGAAACGATGCTTTTCCGATAAAAGAAAAGCCTGACACTTATGTAAAATAGTTGCCTCTTCTGATAAAAGTGCTCTGATGTTCAGAGATTAAAAAATGGATGCGCGAACCGGGAATCGAACCCGGCTCTGCTGCTTGGAAGGCAGCAATGCTAGCCACTACACCATTCGCGCAATTGCTCTTTTTGTTACACTCTGCATGTTGTGGATGATTGTTCTCGACCAAGAAGTTTACTATTGCCATTAGAATTCAATACAGTTGTGGAGTTTTTATAGTACCGTTGCCTACTTCTTCTTTTTTTTTCACCGAGCTTCTTCATCTTCTGTTAACCATCATAGTCAAAAAAAAAAAAAAAAAAAAACTACCCATTATCATGAGAACCACTAGAAATAGTAATAAAGCTACTCCAAACTACTCCACCGACCCTACTAATGATCCCCCAATCATTGAAACCCCGGTTTCTTTGGGCTCTTCATTGGATGTTGGCGCAAAATCTGAAACCCCGATCCCGATAGCAAACATAAACAAACAAGCTAAAGATCAAGATTCCGATGAAGAAATTACTGATGCAGCCGACAATACTATTAATAGTACTGTTGAAACCTTTTTAACTGCTTCAGAAGATCCTGAAGCGGACCAAAACATGGATTCCAACGCCATTTCTACCCCAACTACCTCTCCAGCAATTAATGTTTCTTCAGTTGATTGCGATCGCAATTCTCATGCAGCATGTGACACTGACATTGACATGCATAATCCTGTTATTCCAACCCAAGCCGTTATTTCTACTGATTTGATTAATGAAAACTCCGAAAACCAAAAAAAAATCGAAAATTCTCAAAACCCAAAAAAAAATTCTGTTTCTGTTCCTTCTGTTCCTGTTCCCTCTGTCTCATCTTCTACTGTCGCCTCTCCAACTACGGCCTCCAATCCGGTGGCTCCAGCTGTCAATGTGACAAGACCAATCCAAACCTATGCTCAAGCCACCGCTGGAGACAAGCGCACACCTCGAGCCACTACAAACATCAATGATCCATCCTTCCAAAACGTGTTGATGAAATTTGAAAGAACTTTCAAATGGGCAAGTCACATCAAAATCCTTGACTTTAAGCACCGCGACGTATTGGAATATGCCATAAGCGAGAAACGCAAATCAGGAAAATTGTTCTCCACCTCCAATCCTGCTATTATTAAATCCAAAGAAAAACGCGAGGAACTCGTCAAGATCATGGAAATTGAAGATTTCTTCCAAAACTACACCAGTTTTAATATGACAAACGAATTCAACAGATTGAGAAACTCTAGAATCAGCTTGGAGAACTACTTGGAATTTATCATGAGCCAACAGCATCTTAAGGATATCTTAATCTACTTTAAGATCCCAAAAGATATCTTTACAGAGTTTCCTCTTGAAAAACACTTGGAATCCATCAAAAACGGACTCACTAAGTTATCCAAAGAACTTGATACTATTACACAGTCATCCAACGAACCAGATAAGGATTTGATCATAATCAGGGAAAACTTAAAAGGGGCCCTCAACCACTTGGTTATTTTTAATAAGAAGATCTGCCTTAACTCAAACTTCATCCCAAACCCTCAGGATACAGGCTCTGATATCTTCAAGAAGGACAGAAATCTTTTAATTGAATATCTTAACATCCACCTTAAAGTTACAGTTGGAAATTATACCTACACGCCAGGGTCTTTGTTAAACACAATGAATAAGGAATCCCATTTAATTGAGATTGAAATGAATTCCGAGTTTACTGAATTTAATCGGGAAAAACTTCTTGACCATGTCTTCAATGAATCCGGAATTGATCCATCATCCTTCTTTCCAATCAACACCGTTCACTTTACGGAAGAAGCAAGCAAAGCTGCCAGTATTGTCACTTATGGTTATATTGAAATTGACTCAGGAAAATCCCTTCCACTCTTCAATGACAAAAATTTCCGCTCCAGAGTCATCACGAAATGCGTCCACTGCACTGCATGTGAATCCGGAAGATCCAGAAAAACACGCTCCGAAACAAAATTCTGGAAAAGCAGTCAAACCAAACCACAATTTAAACTATGGTTTTCAGACTGTCGAAAAAAGAAAAATAAAACTGAATAAACCGGCTAGTCCAGAATATTCTAAACCACATTCAAACCCTTTTGACTTATTGGCAAATGAAGAAGAAAATGTTGATGATTCAATTATTGATGAGGACGATACTTTGGAAAAGAACTACCCATCCAATGATGAAGATGCTTTAGAGGAAGGCCTCTCTACTGACGCAGACCAATCCATGGATGAACTCGAAACCTCTACAACCCAACACACTGCTACTCTCAGACATCAAACCAAACCAATAGAATTATTGTCCAAGAAAGGTAAATCAAAGAAGCACGCCAAGTTCGCGGCCATTAGCGCCATCAAGCTGGCCCATATTAGCAAGGTCTCCAAAAAGATCCTCGCCTCACCTTCATCCCACCCTCAGGTCCGTGTTTCTCGCAGACATCAAGAAGTAAACTCACAACATCATACTACTTCTTCTGCTGCCAACATTCCTCCTTCACCTACCACTGCCCGTGATACTGTCACTTCCTCGGCTCTGGCCACTTCTTCTATCCCTGCTTCTGTCCCTGCTTCTGTCCCTGCTTCTGTCCCTGCTTCTGTCCCTGCTTCTGTCCCTGCTTCTGTCCCTACCTCTGTTCCTACCCCTATTACTACCTCACCTCATTCTACCTCACCTCATTCAGCTTCCCCCTTCTCAAAACATCCATCTATCCTGGAAAACTCAGACAAAATGCCCACGCCACTGGAATCATTTACTCCCCGGCCAATGAAGCTTCTGTCAAAAGAACAATCTTCCTCCCTGGATGATAACAACAACGAAATAAATTCACCTCAATCAGATGGCTCAAATGTCACAAAAAACGCCTCTCATACACAAAATGAGTAAACTATCGATCATTAGTCAAAACATCCAAAGATTGAGATTGGATGACTCCAAAATTCTCCATCTATCAAACCAATATAACATTTCAATGTTTCAAGAACTTAATCTTGGCGAGGACTTCCTCTTCCAACACCAAAACAAAAAAATTTATAAAAATACTCCATCATCCCGCACAGCTATTATAATTGAGGACCACATAAAGGTCGTTGATCATTCATTGCTAACAATTGCAGTACTGAGCCAGCTCCAGGTTTATATCACAGATGCCATTATTGAACAAGATGCCAACAACTGGCTTTGGCTAATCAATATCTACAACCCATCTGCTGATTACCAAAAACAAATCCTCCTTCAAAATCAACTCTCCATCACCCTCCAAACCCAGCTTACCACTCTCAGAGCGAGAAGCAACAATAAGACCATCAACATTATTCTCGGAGGTGACTTTAATAATTTTGTCAATTCAAGAGACTCTGCTAACTTCCGTTCTCGCGAACAAAGATCGTCCGAGTCGCTTAAAAAGCTAATCAAAACTTTCAAGCTAGCAGATATCTATGAACATCCAAAATTGCACCAGATTAAAAAGAATTGGACTAACCAATCCACCACGGAAGAAAGTAGTCGCAGAATAGATCGTTTTTATATCAGTCAGTCCATGATCTCCGACAAAAACAGATTTCATATTCAAATGTCCCAACAAAACTATCTAAAGTCTTCTTCAACTCACGATTCTATTATTCTTGAAATCAACACTCAACCTCATGCAATGACTTACATCCCCCAACATAATATCATTAAAAATCATATTATTCAATGGCTTCTGAAGATCAAGTTTCCACCCACTGTGAACTCTACTTCAGACCTCATTTCCGAGATTCGCTTGAAGCTGAATTTTTTGACGATGGTACACAAGAAAATAACAGAAAATACTGATGAACCAAATTATTATGACCACATAAAAACTAGGTTCCACCAACACTCCAGACCGCGCCCAATCAAAGCCCTCAAAGCTTCAGATGGCGCTTTATTGACATCACAGCAAGACATGCTTCTAGAAGTAACCAATTACTATCAAAAACTCTACGATGGATCTCGTGGTTCAAAGAGCTCGGAAAATATAGAAAGGTTCATCAACGCCTCCTTGGGAGATCAGTTACCACTAACCAACACTGAATCCAACAACTTGAACAAACCAATCACCATGACAGAATTGGAATATGCCGTTACTGAATCCAATACTCAATCCGCCCCCGGGGTAGATGGTATACCATACGGCGTTTATAAGTCTCTCTTTCCTCAGATAAAACACATACTTCTAAAAGAATTTAACCAAATTCTTTCTTCAGGGGAAATTCCATTCAACTATCGAACCATAAAATTCACTCTCATACCAAAACCAAACAAAGATGTTCAAAAAGTGGAGAATTACAGGCCCATAGCATTAATCAACACAAATTTGAAACTCTTTTCCAGCATCATCAACGCCCGTTTGCTCCCGTTCTTGCAAAAAATTATCGGCCCAAATCAAGTTGGTTTCATACCTGAAAGATCCTCCTTCTCTAATATAACAATTTTCGGTGACTTGCTTTCCAGTTTAATATCCCCACAAGACAAGCCACATGTCAATCATTCTACTAACCACCGAATCATGCTTGCTGACTTTGAAAAGGCTTTTGACCAGATTTCCCATCTATACCTTAAAATATTACTTCGAAAACTCAATTTTGGAAAAATGACGGAAACTATTCACGCTATCCTTACCAAAGCCCTCGGAACCATTTGCCTAAATAACATTACAGGCCCTTCCTTCCCATTAAGAAACGGAACCCTTCAGGGCAACCCACTTTCACCAACAATTTTCGCGTTAGCCCTTGAACCATTTCTAAGAGCCATCCAAAGATTAAATAAAGGATTCAGTTACAACCATAAGATCCAACCAAACATCATCCCCAGAGTCAAATACCTTGCCTATGCAGATGATGTTACCTTATTCTTGAGAGATCATAATGACTTCAAAAACACTATGAAGATAATTCAGGCGTTCGAACAAGTCAGTGGTTCTAAATTAAACAAAAGCAAATCCAGATTAATTGTTCCATGCGATCAAATACCATTCCAGTCCGACTTCCAAATAGATATTGCTGACAATAATTATGAAATCCAATATCTAGGCGTTAAAATTGGGAACTCGTGTCAAACCTGGCCTAATACTCTCCAAAAAGACATCAGCACCAAATATTACATGACCAACATGAATTCACTACCAATATCAAGTCAAATAGTCGGATATAACACATATATCTTGTCTAAGCTATATTACCACGAGATTCATGCACCTATGCTTCCAGACCAAATAGATTTGCTAGAACAATCCATCAAAAACCAGGTGAACAAAAAACTGAAAATCTCCATGGACACTTTAAAAACAAGCCCATTGAAAGGAGGATATGGCATGGTGGATATCAAAAGCCAATTGAGCTACCGCAAGGCAAAAATCTTTCAACAACTCTTTCTCAAATCTTTAAACCCATATTGCCAGTTACTCCGATTCAAGCTCCAACTAGCAATAAACATGATCATCAAACAAAATCTATCCGAGGAAGAGCAGTCGATACAAGGATATATAAAAACCCAATACTGGTGGCGGTTAATATTGGGTGACCAGATCAATATCAAGAATAAGAGAGACAGCAGGTCCATACTCAACCAGGTTATATATCTTCCAATGTTCACCACAGCGGAAAAATGTGCTTTTGTGGCTTGGTATAAATTATTGTCCAAACCAATATCTCAACAACAAACATTGAACCCAATGAATATCAAACACTCAGACCTTGCCAAGTCCATTCAAGACGGTATACCAACTATCTATCAAATGGAGATCCCAAAACTGGTCATGGAGTTTGAACACAAACAGGGAAGCAAGAAAAAAAGAGCCAGAATTGATAAACATAAATTATCCACCACTTTAACCAATATCCAAGAAGTCACCCAAACGAAACAAAACTCTTTCTGGAAGAGACTCCACAAATACCAACATAATAGCCTTGGTTACTTTGAAAACATACACATACAGTGTTTTCATTTTTTATTCGTACCAACCACCGGAAATGTTCATACCAGTGGCAAAAAATAATTCATACCGACCCCCGGTATTTTTCGTACCACCGCAGCGGGATTTATTCAAACCATCTAAGAAAAATAGTTCATACTATTGCACTTCAATTATTCATACCAACAGAATATAAAATTCATACTAAATGCATAAAATTCTTATGCTTTCATTAATATTTTATCTTTGATATTATTAAACATGTTATAGGGGACCCGCACACCCAATAAAGCCCCTTTGCAGTACTCATTTACCATTTCAAAGGCTCATAACCAAATTTTGGAGTGGTTTCGTCCTTCCTTAAAATTTTAAATTTTCATCAATTTGTTTTTGTCTTTATGTAATTTTTTTTTTGGTTTTTACTTTTTTTTTTTTTGGTTTGTTTTCTGTATTTTGTTTTCTAATTTTTTTTCTTCATCTTCGGTATTTGTTTTCAAAAGAGCTGCTGTTGTAAACAGAGATCAATATGTCTAGAAGCATGTCTGCAGAATCCCTTGTAACTATCAAGGGAAATATTTTCTGTGGCTTCTTTCACCCTTGGAGTTAATTGCTCCTTCTTGCTCAAGTTTGATCTTTTGACTTTACTCTTACATACTGACCAGAATTCTTCTATAGCATTCAACCCTGGAGAATAAGGAGGTAAAAACACAAGTTCCAAGCCACTCAGTGCCACTAGTAACTGAAGATCACGTCGTTTATGAATGGCAGCATTATCAAGGATCAAATATTTCATACCTTTGAGCTCCTCGTTATTTTCTATTTGCTGGATCACTGACTTTACAAAACTGTAGAAGTGATTAGCTGTAGTACCTTTACTCACTTTGTCAATGGTCGTTTCTGAATCAAGTTTTCTCTTCTTATTGGATGTAGCCACTGGAGTTCTGACCTTTAATTCAATACAACCTTTGACAGAAATTGCCCCAATGAACGAAATATTAAGCCCTCTGGTTACGGGAACAGTAAGAACTGCTTTTTCACCCACAGCAGACCATCCATACTCACGCCGCATACTGATATTGAAACCTGCTTCGTCGATGAAAATACAGTTTTGACTAAAGT